AGCTTCCCTTCCCAAAGCGCTTTCCAAAGGGAGTAACAAAGTTACAGTTAATGCAATAGTCCATCCATGCAGCTGAAAATAGCTCCTGACCTGGAACACAGGATTTGTCCAAGTCTCTGGCTTAGGTCACATAGGAAGGTCCACTCAATCAGCAGAATTTCAGGCTGGCGCTTTTTTGACAGTTGAAACTGCTGAATTAGTTTATGGCTAAAAAAAGAATGCCAGGAAGATATTTTGAAAAGTGCTGCACTCGGAGGCCTTCATCAGAGGAGAGCTAAACTTAGAGGGGCTGAGGTAGGAAGAGAAGGGTGTGAGTGACACCTCTGAGGGACAGCTCCATCCTCTGGGGACCAGGCTCCTGCCTGCAGTGCCTGGCCTGTCCTGAGGGGAAGGAAAGATGGAATCATTCCAGGCACCAGCTCTGTTAGAGCCCTGATGCACTTAAACATTTAGAGATTATAATGACCAAGAAAAATCTTATTTCCTTTTAAAAAGGATACTGCCAAGTGTTTCACATTCATTCTTCTTCCATAGCCAAAAGGAAAATGAATTTTAAAAATGGAGGACTCGTAGACAGTCTCCCAAGGAAATTTAAATTGGGAAGTGCAAACCATCCAACACCAGTTTGGGATGAGTCCCTGTGTCCCTGAGTTATCCAACACCAGTTTGGGATGTGTCCCTGTATCTCTGCATTATCCAACACCCATTTGGGACAAGTCCCTGTGTCCCTGCGTTATCCAACATCAGTTTGGGATGTGTTCCTGTGTCTCTTCCTTCATCCAACACCAGTTTGGGATGTGTCCCTGAGTTATCCAACACCAGTTTGGGATGTGTCCTTGTGTCCCTGTGTCCCTGCATCATCCAACACCGGTTTGGGATGTGTCCCTCTGTCCCTGTGTACCTGAGTCATGCAACACCAGTGTGGGATGCATCCCCGTGGCCCTGCCGTGTGTACCCTGTGTCCCCTGCTGTTTGTGGTGCCTCCTGGGTGCTGTCCTGTCCCCCTGAGTCACCCGAGCCCCAGCTCCGTTCAGCACTAACGAGGGCAGAGGTGTGAAGTGACTCAGGGCACAGGAACGCACTGAACGCTTCTCAAGCCCTCACGGTGAATCCTGCAGCCCCAAAACATTCTGAGCAGAGCAGGGAGAGCCCAGAGGGAAGGGTTTGCTCTTCAGAACTCTCCTGTGCAGCACGTCCTGGCACACCTCATCCCTGATTCTACAAGAGGAAGAGTTATCTGTTACTGCATCAGCAGCCTCTTATTTACAGGGCTTGGATGGCACCCATCCAAACAGGGCTTCAGGAGTGCTGGAAACAATTCAGCTGCTCCACAATGACTGTTCTACATTGGAATAATCTGTATTTTTGTAGTAATATTTTTTTTCTTTGGCCATGATGATACTGAAGTGTCATTTTCACAGAAGCCAAGTGAGATTCAAGCCCCTCTGTGCTAACAGTGGGTTCTGAGAAGTACAAACACTGCTGGGTCAGTTCTGTGCCTGCAGCTAAACCATAAATGTCACATATTTGTGCAATTTTGTGAAAAACAAGGAGGCTAAAGGAGTGCCCACCCTCACTGCAGGCTTAAAACTCATGGTGTTCATCTCCTGACATCAGTGCAGAGGCATTGAACAGAATCACAGAACGTGGAAGGGACCTTGAAGATCCTCTCATCCCACCCCTGCCATGGCAGGGACAGCTCCCACTGTCCCAGGTGCTCCCAGCCCTGTCCAGCCTGGCCTTGGGCACTGCCAGGGATCCAGGGCCTGCCCACCCTCACAGGGTGTTTTCTTAATATCTAACTCAAAGCATTTAAATCTAAATCTGTTATAGCCTTTCCCTGAGGTACAGAAGGACAATATTGATTGTCCCATGGTTTTCCTTTCCCTCTCAGGCTGGGCTGAGCTGCTGCTCCTCTGTCACTGTATTTATACCTGTGCTACATGCAACAACATTTTTGTTCCAGTGTAAAATGTGACTCACAGCAGTAAATTTGAGCATTGCATGCTCAACAGTCTCTGTGTTTTACACATGACAGTGAAACAAGACTAGAAAGCTGATTTAATATAAAGGCTCTGGACCTACAGGATATAAGGCCAGGATAGATGGCTGCCCCTGGATCCCTGGAAATGTCCCTGGAAGTGTCCCAGGCCAGGCTGGACAGGGCTGGGAGCAGCCTGGGACAGTGGGGGGTGTCCCTGCCATGGAATGGGCTCCAATGTCCCTTCCTGGGACTCAGTGTAGCAACCTGCAGACATTGTCATTAAAAACAAATACAAACTCACACCAGGGGCCAGAGAGGAGAGCCTGCTGTGTCCAGAGGACTCACAGAGCTGGATGAATGGGGCAGCTTTGGGTTGAATCCCTGGATTTGAGCAGCCCCCATTCCTGGCTCTGCTCCATCCCACCCCTTCCCCAGGCAGTCCCACACCACCACCTCTCTTGGTTCTCAGTTCATGGACAAAAACACCTCATGCTCTAAAAAAGCTTCTTTTTCTAAGAAACCAAAATGAGCAGCAGTGGCTCCCAAGGGCTCCAACAGCTCAGAGCCACCCCCCTGTGTGGCATTCACAGTTTCTGGAAAAATCCCTTCACCCAGGATTTTTCTCCTGGGAAGCTGAGGAGCCTCAGAGAAAAGGAAAACAATTCTTATCTCATTTGCTTCTCCTGTGTTGTGCTCATGTGGAATGTGTTTGGGGATTCTTTATCCACAGGTGATTGTTCCATTGGATTCTGCTGGGAGTTGTTTTCACTCTTTGGCCAATCAGGGCCAAACTGTGCTGGGACTCTGAAAAGAGTCAGGAGTTTTCATTATTTTCTTCTTAGCATTCAGTAAGTATCATTCCTGTATTCTTTAGTACAGTATTCTTTAATAGAATATAGTATATTCTTTAATAGAATATAGTGCTATATATTGTATGATTAATATATAATTATATTACTATATTATATTAAAATATATTCTATTAAATATATTCTTTAATACAATATAGTATTATAAAGTAATAAATTAGCCTTCTGAGAACATGGAGTCAGATGCATCATTCCTTCCTTCATTGGGGCATTCCCAACAAATACAATATCCCTGTCCAGGATCTGAGTCTGCCATGGTCATTCATTGTCACAGCAGCTCAACCTGCCATGGTCAGATGTCACAATAGGACACAAAATGAACACTCACATGCTGAGATGTCCAAGGCAAAAAAGGTGCATTTATTTCCAGACCTCACTATTTATAGAATTCCAAAAGTGACCATGGATTGGAGGATGAGATTGCCACCTCTCCGACCACACTGGTCAAACCAACAGTCCAATTCTCTCATCCTCCAGAAAGGAATGCAAAACAATCATTATTTACACGAAAAGTGAGTGAGAAACTCTATTTTAAAAATGTAAACATCAGAAGGCTTAGAAGAACTTTAGACAGTCACTGTCACAGCAGCTCAACCTGCCCCCTGTGAATGTCCCTCCCCAGTGCCAGCACTGCCACACCAAACAGGTGGGGAACAACAGAGCACATGGAAAGGAGCTAAAACCAAAATTTACACACCATTTGTACAGCAGGGATAGAGTTTATTAATCCAGTGGAACTGGAATAGTTATGCTCAGTGTGTGCTTCCCTCAGCACAGCGTTATGTCCACCACAGTTACCTTCACCTGGGCTCGCAAGCTTCTGTCAACTCTCCCTGCAACAGAAATGCTGCCCTTGATAACAGGGAATTCCCATTTCCCATGGAAAAGAGCTCTGCTGTCAATCACTGCTCACAATTTCAAGTATCACCCCAAGACAGCACCTAATTAATCTGCTTTCTTGCACTCTGAGCTAATTTAATTACCTGGTCGGGTTATCAACAGGGATAAAGTCTCGTGGAATTACAGGGTTTAGGCCAGGCATGGGGTCAGTGGGGCAGGGATGGAGGAGCTCACAGCCCTGTGCCCTCACACAGCAACAAGGGGAGAGGCCAGACACCAGTGTGGGGTAAAACAGCTGTTATTTCCCATTGGAAATGATGTAACTTTCCTAACAAATTGTTTTAATTAATTGCAATCAATGCCCACTTTCAGCTAGCACTAGTTAAGTTTCTTCACAGGCTCTTACAACTTCTTTGATCACTAAATGACCAAAACCTCAAGTTTGCTAAAAGTAACCCTGCCAAGCTTTAATAAACAAAGGCAAAGGGAGTTGGAGATTGGACATCTGGGATCTTAAATTTATGATCCTTCAAGGGTGTTGAAGCAAGCAGAAAATGCAGAGGAGATTAAGGCCTGGAAAGCTGGAGATTCCCTGACTGAGAAAAAGATTATAAAAGTAATAAAGTATGTGGACCAGATTAGCATGAAGTGTGAGAAATTAACAACCAAGAGCAGAGAGAACGGTAAGTAATGAAGAGAATTATGTAACCTAGAGCAAATGAACACTAATTTGCTAAAAATGTATAAATAAGTGAAAAAGTTTTGTATCAGTGTTGGTGCAGAGGCTGGAGCTTTGTCAGCCGCACACAAGGATACAGTAATGCCTTAGTCACTAACAGTGTCACACAGCCTTGGAGGGAGCCTTACTGATCCCAGGGACTTTGGGGCACCTTGGGAACAATCCCAGAGGCACCAGCTCTGCCCCAGGGCTGCCCCAGCTCCCCCTCCCCAGGCTGTGCCTGTGCCTGGCCCTGCTCCCAGCCCTGACAGCCCCTCAGTGACAGCGGTGTGACCACCTGAGCCTGTCCCTGCACCTGAACTTGTCCCTTCACCTATAGCTGAACCTGTCCCTGCACCTGTCCCCTCACCATCACCTGGCCTTACACCTACACTTGAACCTATACCTATAGCTATGCCTGTCCCTATCCCTGCCCTTATCCTGTTCCTATTCCTGCCTCTCTTTCTTGTCCTTCTCCCTCTCCTTCTTTTCCCTTTCCCTTTCCTTTCCCTTCCCGCTGCCCGTCCCTCAGGCGCCGCCGCCATTTCCCGCCGTGTGGGCAGGGCCGCGGTGCGCGCCGGGAGCGGGCGGGGCGGCGGCGGAGCGCGGGCTGGGTACGGCCGGGCCGGGAGCGCCGAGTCCTGAGGGGTTCCCCCTGTCCTGAGGGGACCCCGTGTGTCCCACCGCGATCCCCCTGTTCTGAGGGGATCCCACAGTCCTGAGGGAATCCCGCCGGGGTCCCGCCCATCCCCGCGCCCCTGACGCCGCGTTTGCCTTGCAGGAGGCCCAGGATGGCGGAGAGACCGGAGGACCTGAACCTGCCCAACGCCGTCATCACCCGCATCATCAAGGAGGCGGTGGGTGCCGGGCCCCGCGGCCCAGCGGAGCCCCGGGAGATCCCGGCCCTGGAGGCCCCGGCCCCGGCCCGTGCTGTGTCCCCGCCCGCGGGGCTCTGCCCTGGGCTGCCCCCCTCGGGTACCGCGGCTGCGGCCCCCTCACTGCAGCTGTACTGGTGCAGCCCCCGCAGTGGCACTGTGAGAACCAGGCTCCCTAAAACTTCAGCACACAAGTCCGTGTCTATATAAAAATCCAGAATAACTCCCAGTGGTTAGTTTACTTTGTTTGGTCTGGAGCTGTGAGGTGTTGCTGGGTGGGTCTGGGCCTGGCAGGCTTGTCAGGAGCTGGGCAGTCACAGGATGAGTTACCTGCAGACAGTGGCCAGACCCCAAATTCCAGTCACTGGGCTTCTGCTCAGCTCTGTGCCTTTGGGGGACACATTCCCACTGCCCTGGGCTTCCACTGGGAGCAGAGGTCCTGTGACAGCACCTCAGAGCAGTTCCCAGTTCTTCTGAGCCCTCTGAGTGCCTTAACATACCAACACTTCCATTTTGGAATTTGTTTTTAGCAGCTGCTGATAAAAGTTGGATTTGTTTTTCAGCTTCCTGATGGAGTCAATATTTCCAAAGAAGCCCGGAGCGCGATCTCCCGAGCAGCGAGCGTGTTTGTGCTCTATGCAACATCATGGTAAGGACATATGCAACTACATGGTAAGGTGCAGCAGTCACTGGGGCACTTCATTGATAATTCATCTCTGCTGGCCTGGGGACTCTCTCCCAGTGTTGTTTTTCTGTATTGCCTGTTTATATAAATAAACCAGGCTGCCAGGCTGCAGCAGGTGGGTTTGGACTGCTCAGAGCAGCCCATGGGAAGGTAGCTGGGCTCTGGACACAGCTATGTCCCAAAAAGAGGAGTCCCAAACTGCCATTAGCCTTAGAACGTGGTGCACAGCCTTCCTGACAAAGGCAGGGGCACTTCACTCACTGTCAGGCTCTTCATCATGAAGCTGTGTTAGGGCAAGAGCTGCCACAGAGGACACAGTCACATTTTGGGTTGGTTTGGCATATTCTCTGCAGGCAGTCACTTCTCTAGTGTCAGGTGCTTCTAGGGCTGTGTGGAACTGTCACAGGCAAGGTTCAGGCTTTCTCCTTCTCCTGCTCGTAGAAAAGGTCTGTGCAAGCAGAAACTAACACTGTGGGAAAGCACAGACAGCCAGTGTAAACAAAAATGTCTCAAACCTCCTTTAGTAAATGATAAAAAAACCCTAAATTTTTTTGTGGATGGCTTTTTTTAGTTGCTTATGACTTGATTATTAAAGTCAAGATGGAATTGCTGACAGTTCCCAATTACCTCTCTCTTTCGTTCTCCCTAGTGCAAATAACTTTGCCATGAAGGGGAAGAGGAAAACCCTGAATGCTGGCGACGTGCTCTCTGCCATGGAGGAGATGGAGTTCCAGAGATTCGTGGCCCCTCTGAAGGAATCCCTGGAAGGTACCGTGCTCCGTGGGTGCCCAGGGACTCTGAGGCACTGAGTCCTGTTTTCCTCCAACGCTGGACAAGCAACACTTATTGCCTGTCTTGTTTCTCTTCTCTTTGCCCAGCATCCTACACTGCAGTTTGCCTGGGGAGTAACTAATGTGCACCTTAACGGGACTGGGATAACATTATTGCACAACTGATGAGGATTGAGAAAGTCTCATCTGCTCTCACTCCCCTATTATGTTATCTAAGGAAAGCCGTAGGTGCTGCCTGTAAATGTGACCTCCTGCATCCTTTTCAGCATTTTTCTGCTGAAATTTAACCTGATTTCCTATGGAGCTGCTCAGCACAGCTCAGCTCGTAGGGTGAGTTGTGCTCTGAGTTCCCTGCTCCCCTCCAAAGGCAGGAGAGCAAGTGGATGTTGGATCTCAGCCACTGACCTGTCTGTGCTGTGCCAAGCCCTCACTGTTCCCTCTCCTCAGTTTACAGGCGGGAGCAGAAAGGAAAGAAAGAGGCCAGGAAAGATAAAGACAAGAAGGCAGACTCGGAGGAGCAAGATAAGAGCCGAGAGGACGACAATGATGACGATGATGAAAGGATGGAGGAGGAAGAACCAAACGATGAGGAAGAGGTGGACAACTGAGCTGGCTCGTGGGCAGGGGCTGGGGTGTGCTCAGAGGGATGTAAAGGCTGAAAACTGACCTTGCTGCATCCCCTGGAGTGTCCATTAGAGCTTTGTACTGCCCCTCTGTGGCCTGTCCCTTTTGGCCTGGAATTTGTACATAAAGGACTGTGCTGAAGCTTTCCCGTGGCAGGGTGGCTCCTCCCTGTGCCTGAGGGCTTTGGCCCTCCCCAGGCCCTGGGCTTTTGATGCTGGGCTGGCTCTGAAAGAGAGGAAAAAAGCACTGGTGGGTGCTCAGTGCAGAAACTGGCCAGGAGAACATGAGACTCTTGAAGATGAGGGGTTGAATCCATTCACAGATCACTTCTGGGGTGTAGAATGTAGGTGATGATGTCCAGAGGCTTGGGGGCTGCACATTGAAGCTTTTGATCCAGTTGAGTTGTTTTTTCCCCTTTGTTTCCTTGCATCCTGGCTGTGCCATCTCTGCCTGCTGTGCTGTGACAGTGACACTGTGTCCTTCAGCCTCAGGGTGGCTGCACAGGGACCACGAGTTCACTCACTGACTCACCCAAACTAACCCAAATCTGAAAAACACACAGTGCTGATGGGGTAAACTGTACACTGACAGTGAATTGAGAGGCAAAGAGGAGATGATTCAAAATCTGGAGCACAAGGAGGGCTCAGATGAGGAGCAGGGCTGGAAACAGGTGGCTTTGTGCCATGCTGGGGGTGGGACAGCTCAGTGTCACACTGGGGTCTGGTGGTCTCAGCAGCAGCCAGCTGAGATGTGCTAGAGCAGAGTGGGGAATTGTGGTTGTCTTTTCCCCTTTTCCCAGTTGGGATGGGTTAATTCCATCCAAGGTCCCTCTGTAGCCTTTGCTGGTCATCCCAGGGGTGCCTCAGGGAGGGCAGCAGGGCAGGGGGTGTGTGTCCACCCAGGGGCCCTTGTGGCTTCACAAAAGGCCCCTGCAGGAAGGAAGGGTTGAGAGAAGCTCTTGGTATCCCTTGTGCTGCTGTAGGTTTGTGCTTTTCCACTTGAACTCTTAGTTCTGATGCCTTTTCTCCCTCAGGAAGTTTTAGATATATTTAAAACCCCCAGGTTTTGATGATGTGCAGCTTTAAAACAGCACTTGTGAGGAGTCCTGGATCCTTTCCACCAAAAAATGGTGGCAGCTGCCCACAAGAACCACCCTGCCCTCCTGCTTTTCTGGCTCGCTGGATTTTCACAGGCACACAAGCCCAGCTTCTGAAAAGAACTGAACCAACACAGATTTTCTGCTGTCTAGTTTCTGCTGGCATCCAGTCAGGCTGTGCAAAGCCTGAGCTGATGATGTGTTCCCCACATTTCTGATAAACACCCACCTTCCAGCTCTTTTCCTCTCTTCTTTATTTCTCTTCAGCACATATCTGGGGTGCATATTCTGGAAGGGAACGAGATCTAAATAAAACCAGCTTTTTTTTTTTACAGAAATGGGTGTCTCATATTTTGGTCAGTTATACAATGAGCAGGTTGTGGTTGCATAAGTGGGATGGGAGCAGGAAATGCTCTGGTTTCTGGAGCAGCTGACATGGAGGAGGATGAGAGGAGGATGAAGGCTGCTGTAGCCTGGCCTGTGTGAGAGGAGGAGGGACTGTGGAAAGGAGGAGGGGATTTCCAGGTCACTGATGTTTGCTGGGGGAAGGAGCTGACAGCTCCAGGGAGAGGCTCCAGGCTGGGGGGAAGATCCAGGATCTGGATCCAGAGTTTCTGCACCGGAGCGAGCCAGGGAATGGTGCTTTGGTGGGGGAGTTGCAGAATTCCTGCACTAAACCTGATCCTGACATCTCCCCTGCTCTGAGAGACCAGAGCAGGGCTCTGGGCTTCCCCCAGCACCCCAAACCCTGCTCCAGGTGCCTCTCCTGCACCCCAAACCCTGCTCCACACCACCACAGCCTCTCAGCCATGCTCCTTAAACCAAACCCTCACAGCACCCCAATGCCCTGTCCCAGCCACTCCAGAATCCTAAAACCTGGCTCCTGGTCCTCCCACAGCACCCTAGAACTGGACTGCATACACCTCCAGCACCCCAAAACCCAGCTCCATGTCCCCCTCAGCACTCAAAACCTAGCTCTGGGTCCTGCAGCACCCCAGAGCTTTGCTCCAGCCTCCACGAACCCCCAAAACCTGCCTTCTTCCCCCCCCCATCATCCCAAAAGCCCTGCTCCGTGTCCTCCAGAACCCCAAAACCTGGCTGTGAGTCCCCCTGCAGCACCCCCAAACCTGGCTCCAGGTGCCCCTGCAGCACCCCGGGACTGGATTGCTTGGCCCCAGCACCCAGAGCTGCCCCCGCAGCACCCCGAGGCCGTGCCCCGTGCCTCCCCCCGGGCCCATCCCTGCCCCAGACCCCCAAATCCCGGCCCCAGACCCCAAATCCAGCCCCAGACCCCAAATCCCGGCCGCAGACCCCAAATCCCGGCCCCAAACCCCAAATCCCGGCCGCAGACCCCCAAATCCCGGCCCCAGACCCCAAATCCCGGCCGCAGACCCCAAATCCCGGCCCCAAACCCCAAATCCCGGCCCCAGACCCCAAATCCCGGCTCCGCCGCCGCCCCCGTCCCCCCGCGCCGCCTTTCCCGCGCTCCGCCGCGAGACTTCCCGCCAGCCCCTCCGCGGGGGGGGGGGGGGCTATGCTGATTATGGGCGTGGCTATGCAAATTTCGGACACTGTCGCACGGCCGGAACGGACGCGTTCATCGGTGAGTGCCGGGACCGGGACCGGGAACCGGACCGGGAGCGGGGCTGGGAGCGGGCACCGAAGCTGGGGCCGGGGCATCCGCGTCTCCTTCACTCCCCGACCTCGGCCCCTTGCGGGGCTGCCGGAAAATGACTGCAGGGACGGGGCCCGGCCGCGCTTGGGTGCAGGCAGGAAGGGCAGCCCCGGGTAACGCAGCAAGGACAGCCCGGGTTTTGCTCAGTTTTGCTCGGTTTTTGCTCGGGTTTTGCTCCGTAACCGTGGCAACGGCGGGGGACGCGCCGAGCAGCGTGTGATGCTGCGAGCTAGCGTTGGTCCCGAGCTCCAGCATGTGCTGGGGTGTAATTCCAGACCCCGGAGCATCCCCGTTCCCGTCCTGGAGCGGGAAACCTGCCCTAACAGCTTGACCTTCGTAGGTAGCTCTTAATTAACCCTGTAACAGCTTTGCCTTCATTAGTGGCTGTTAATTAACCCACAGCTCCGTTTTGTGCCTGGGGAGCTCCACCTTCCTAGAACACTCCAGTCCGTCCCCTGCTCAGCTGGGATTTTGGGATCCTGCATGTCCCTGGGATTTAGCTAAATAATTGTGCTCCCGTCTGAGGCCACGTGTGTTTGTGTGTCCTGAAATGCTGGGACACCTCTTGCTGCCAGGATGAGGCGAGGCGAGGGAACGAACCCTGCCAGCTCCTGGGAGCCGGAGCAGCGCCGGCTCTGCCTCCTGCCCGTCCCGAGCATTGTCCGGCCGGTGCCGAGGGCCGGCGTGTGCCGGGTTCTCCCGTTGGGAAGGCGCTTCCCGTCCCTGGAGAGCAGCAAGGCACCGGGGCAGAGCCGCGGGCACGGGCTGGGCACGGGCTGGGCACCGCTGCGGGTTCGGGTGCTGCGGCTTTGGACCGGCCCCAGTGGAAGGGGCAAAGGTGAAGCCGCTCTGCTGCCGACCTGTCCCTGAACTCCTCCGGTGTGCGCGGAGCAAAGAGCTTTAGAAAGTCCGGTTCGGGCCCTGGATGTTGGGGAAAGGTTAATTTGTTCTGCCGGGATCTCGGGAGGAGCAGCCCCAGCCCAGGGTGGCGCAATGTCCCCGTGGCCGTGCCCTCCTTCCCCGCTGTCCCCGGCTGTGCCCCCCCGGTGTCCTGGTCCTGCCGGGTGCCCTGGGTGGGCAGCAGCTCGTCCTGGACGTGGGGCTGGGACGGAGGACCCGGCCCAGCAGCCCGGGACCCACCCGTGCCGCTCTTATCTCGGCCCTGCAATCCCGGCCGGCGCCGTCTGCTCCTCCTCCCGAGCGCGGTTTCGGGAGCTGCGGCCTCTATCTGTCCCGTGCAGTCAGGTGCCGCTGGTCCCACCCGGCCCCCTCCCCTCCCTCGGGTGGGATTAACTGTTTAAAGCATTTTTTGGATTCTCGAGGTGGGTTTTGTTCACTGAGCCCTTTGTTTGCCATTGGGAGCCCTGCCTGGAGCCAGGCGCCTGCTGGAGCTGCCAGCTCCGGTTCAGCCGAGGGCTGTCCCCTTCCCTGGAGCAAGCAGCGTTCCAAGGGCTAAAAATGGCTTGCCAAGGGATGCCATGACGCTGCCAGGTTCCTGTCAGCTGCTCTGCATCCCCCACGAGCACCACCTGATGTTTTTATTGGGGTTTTTATATGTGTAAGCCTCTAACCAAGAGGGGCCTTTCCTCATCCCCAAGCAGAAGCGATTCCCTGGGGTATGAGAGGCTCGATTCCAGCCCTGGACTGAACACAATTCCCCTTTGTTCCAAGTGTCCTGTGCACTGGACTGCTCTGACAGAGTTTGGCTCCACATTAGAACTTCTTAATGGTCTTGAGTATGTAAAATAGGTGAAACACTTCCTATTACAGGTTTTCCAGAAGAACTGAGCCATCTCCCAGCTCTGTCACTGGCTGGTGTCGTGGGTTCCAGTGTAAAACTTTGTGCCCTGGATTCTGTGCTGGGAGCTGGAGCTGTGCCTCCAGGAGGACTCTGATCCCATTCTGTTCTCCAGAGAGAGTTTGGACGCAGGCTGAGGGTCAGAGAGGTTTACTGACCCCTCCTGGGATGGACCAAGGCTGTTCCATCTCCCTAGCGAGGCCCTGCCCTGCCCAGGACACTCACAGGAATCCACCTGCTCTTTCAGAATCCCATCTCAGCTCCATCAGGCTCAGCTCCCAAAACCCCACACTCTCCAGCAGGCACTTTGCTTTGTCTCCCAGAGCACTCCAGCTCCTCTGCACAGGGCGTTCAGGGGATGTGGCCCTGTGTGAGCAGCCAGCAGTCCCTGGAGCTGCTCTGCACAAACAGTCCCTTGCTGGGGTCGTGCAGCTGCTGCTCTGCACTGCAGCCAAACACCTCGTCCCAGGAGAGCTCCCTTCCCACGGCCCTTCCATCACATCCACCAGCAGCAGGGTGGGGGGAATTGAGCCCTCATGGAAATGTAATCCTTAATGGGCTGATCACAGAGTTATTACTAGATCTGCTAGAGAGTAAAACATTGCTACAGAAGAAGTTTCAGCCATGAGATAGCTAATGATTGATTTACGTGTGAGTTTTGTTACCTCTGAAATCAGTTTTGCCTAACTCCATGGTTTTCTTTATCCAGCAGTAAGTGGCCACTGGAGTTGTTTAACTGTGAGAGTTGTGTGAGAGCTTTAGAGCCCTGGATGGTCCCATGCCTCCAGTGCCCCTACTCTTCTGTAGCTGCACCTTCACACTGCAGCCATAAATATGTGGTGCTGCACAGAATCGTGGAATAGTTTGGGTTGGAAGGGACCTTAAAGATGACACACAGCAGCTCTGTATCCTCTCCATACAAAACCACAATTTCTCAGCACTAAGGAAAAGTGAAATGAATGAAGAATAACCCTCTTGGGGCTCAGGGAAAGGAACCTGCAGAGGGTGAACGTGGTTCTGCTGAGGGGGCTGTCAGTAGCTGGAAATGGGGGTTTCATACACAGAACTGGGGGGTTTGTGGGGAGGAGTCACTGACAGCCCTGTTAATGGGAAGGGCTCTGACTGCTGATGGGGGTCCTGCAGCACCCCAGGGTGCCCAGGGTAGGTGGGGTGGAGCTGCCTGGGCTGCAGCTCATGGCCTGGCATGGGACAGGGCCAGTCCTGCAGGGGCTGCCTGGATCCAGCCCCTCCTCACGTGTGCAAAGAGCAGCAGCTCACCGGGGCCCTGCTGGTTTGTTTTAGTGTTTCAGAGTCTCCCTCCCTGACAGCAGAGCCCACCATGCAGGCAGACTCTGTTCTCCACAGTGGTTACTTCCACCCCATGCTGCGCTCCTGGCAGTGCACAGCCACCACCTTCGATGCCTCCAACCTCATCTACCCCATCTTTGTCACGTGAGTGAGCCCCAGCTCTGGGGCAGGGATGGACCTGGCTCAGGGGCTCTGGCTGGGCCCATCCCTGCACCCCCTGAGCTCCTAAATAGGTGCAGAGCTCCTGTGGGCCAGTCTGGGGGAGAGGCTTCCTTCTCACATCTCTGTCCCATCCACCTCCCACAGTGACAGCCCTGATGCCGTGGAGCAAATTCCCAGCCTTCCTGGACAAGCCAGGTATGAATCCAGCCCCCCAGTCACTGCTGTGCTGTGTCTGGGGAGGGTTCATTTGTGCCCTGAGCATGAGCCAGTGCGAGGCTTCCAACCCTCTGGTTCCTGCTTTGGAGATCCCCACATCAGGCAAGGTGGGAATGTTCATCCACTCAGGGAGTGGAGGGAATCATGCAGGGAATGCTGGCAAAGTGTCAGTGCTGGGAGGGACAGCACCAGGGGCTGGCTGTGTCCCAGAGCACTCCCAGGCTGTGTGGGCTGGGCACACAGGGAGGCTGGAACTGAACAAGGTTTCCAGCGGCAGCCAGAAAACCTCTGCAAGGACGTGGGGTCTGGTCCTGCACTGGATCCCACTGGACTGGCAGCTCCCTCTGCATCTGCTGCACGTTAGCAGGGCTTTGGGCAGGGGAGCTGGGATGGGAAAGGGGCTGGAGCTGCACCAGGGCCACCAAGATAAGGGATCCAAGGGCAGGGTATGCCCATTCCTCCACAGCAGTGTCCCTGCCGGGCTGATAGTGCTCCTGGAGCCCCAGATAAGGGCTCAGATTGTTCCTCCCAGTGTTCAGGCAACACCTCCCCTGTAGCTGCAGGCACTGCCTGGTGACACTGGATGGCTCCCAGGGCAGCAGCATCCCAGTGCCAGGGCAGCTGTCCCCACGGGGCAGCTCTGGGTGCCTGGCAGCTGCTGCCCTCTGCCCTGCAGGTATGGAGTGAACAAGCTGGAGGGGATGCTGCGGCCCCTGGTCGAAGACGGCCTCAAGTGTGTGCTCATCTTTGGGGTGCCCAGCAAGGTGCACAAGGTCAGTGCATGGTGTGGGGGTGCTGGGAGAGCCACAGGGCTGTCAGAGCAATGGGGGCTGGGTGGGGGGGGGTCTCCTGATCAAACAGGAGCAGTTCAGGGTCTCTGGCTGTGATATGATAGGATATTATCACACCCAGAAAGTCCCCAGAGCTCTGCAGGTGACCCCAAAACCTGCCCTAGCTGCCCATCACCCTTTTCCCTCAGTGGGGTCCCACCATCCAGCCTTACAAGGTCCCGCAGTTCAGGAAATGCAGAGCTGCTGCCACGGAGGAGCCGGTGGGAAGTGTCAGCTGTGCATGCTGAGGTGTTTGTGTCCTCACAGGATGAGAGAGGCTCTGCTGCTGATGCTGAGGGCACTCCTGCCATCCAGGCCATCAGGAAGATCCACTCCACCTTCCCAGAGCTGCTGATTGCCTGTGATGTCTGCCTGTGTCCTTATACCTCACACGGGCACTGTGGTGAGCACGGGCTCCAGACTGGGCTGTGCTCTGGGCCTTCTCCTGCCTCTGGGAGCCTCTGGGATTTGCCATTTTCTGCCGAGGGTCTTCCCAGCTCCTGCTCCAAGACTTGGCTTCCTTGCACTGCTGTAGTTGAGTCTGGGTGACCTCTCCTTTGACCACAGCATGGGTGGTTCAGACCCTCCCTCAGGCCCCTGAGTCTGAGCACCCCTCAGTGTCCCCCATCTCTGCCTTCCCTTCCCTGGTGCACCCACATGCTGTGTCCAGTCCCCAGCAGGCTCCTGGTCCTTATCCACCTCCCTGAACACACCAGGTTCCCCACTGCTGCTCTGAGCACCTCCTCAGCTTGTCCCCAGAGCCACACTGCCCTGGGGACTGAGCTGTCCCTGCACTGTGTAACCCAGGTTTGTCTCCCAGGCATCCTGCGTGAGGATGGCACCATCCAGAACGAGCTCAGCTGCCAGCGCCTGGCCGAGGTGGCACTGGCTTATGCCAAAGCAGGTGGGGAGCCCTGGCAGTGACACCCCAGACTGGCTCTCAGAGCTGGCCCTCTCTGCTTTGGGCAGACCCAAAAGCAGCCTGGGCCTGGCTCCAACTGGGGGTGCTCCCCTGCAGGGGTGTGAGCCTCCAACAGCCCTGTGCTGTCTGTCCCTGCAGGATGCCACATCGTGGCCCCCTCGGACATGATGGACGGGCGCATTGCAGCCATAAAGCAGGCGCTGATCTCCAACGACCTGGGCAACAAGGTGAGCCAGGGTTCTGTGTGTGCCACAGGCACAATCCACCCCCAGGGAGGCTGCAGCACAGCAGGACAGGGCAAGGGGCAGGAGGGGCAAAGCCCCTTGGTGCCACGGGCACTGCCCTGCCCTGGCACACACAGAACAGGAATGTCCTTGGCTGAGGGAAATATGCCTAGGCATGCTGAGGTGCCAGATGTGTGGCAGGGGGAGGGTGAAGCTGTGGGAGGGAATCTCTCCTGTCCCAGCACTGGGATGTGGCCCTGAGCTCCCAGCCCTCACAGCCCCTCTCTGCCCTGCAGGTCTCGGTGATGAGCTACAGTGCCAAGTTTGCTTCGTGCTTCTATGGCCCCTTCAGGTGGGTCTGTGTGTCCAGCTGGGGCCAGGCTGGCTGGGAGTGCATTCCCAGGCAGTTATTTGGGAAAGGGGCTTACCCAGAGCCTGGGGTGTACGTGGGGCACACTGGTCACTTTGCAGCATCCTACTCCTACTTCTCCATGCAAAAAGGACTTGCCCAGAAGAGGCTAGCTGGCAGCAAGGTCACTGAAGGCTGATCTTCCATCCCAACGCTTCACCTGTTTGGGTGCTGGTGGCAAGGCAGGCAGAGGGAGCTGCCTGCAGCTTCCAGGAGCAGTCAGTAGTCACAGCAGTCAGTGCTGCCCACAGAGTGACTTCAGGGACAAGCCTCAGCTAAGTCAGCTGTTAGACCTTGTCCCAAGAACAGCCTGACCCTGGCCGAGTATCCCAAGGATTCTGCCTTGGGAAAGAGCCCGACATAATTTTACCCAGACTCTGTGCATGAGGGGGGCAGTGGGTGTTGAAACAGCTCCCAGGGCCAGCCTGGGCCTGTAGGACCTCCCAGAGGAATCCCTGGGTGCTGAGCTGTGTTGGGAGCACCCCTTGCTCTGGCTCAGTGGCTCAGAGCTTGTCCTGGCCTGTCCTCGTGTTTCTGGAGCTGCAGGAGGTGGGAGCCAGGAGTTCCTCACCCTCTGCCCCTCTGCAGGGACGCGGCGCTGTCCAAACCGGCCTTTGGGGACCGGCGCTGTTACCAACTGCCCCCGGGCGCCCGCGGGCTGGCCCTGCGCGCTGTGGTGAGTGTGGGGGGGACCCTCAGTGGAGTGGGTGTGGGCTGTGGGGTGGGACCCCCTCAGTGGGGTGAATATGGGCTGTGGGGTGGGACCCCCTCAGTGGGGTGAATATGGGCTGTGGGGTGGGACTCCCTCAGTGGGGTGACTGTGGGCTGTGGGGTTATGCCTGTGGGGTGGGACACTCTCACATAGGGCCTGGGTGATCACACCCCACAGGGCTTGGGGCGAGCAAGAGCTTGGGAGGCAAATGGTGAACGGTGTTCCCCTTCCATGAGCCAAAGAAACATGAGGCCCACCAGCCTGGCAGAGCTGGTCCCACTGTGTGCCCAAGGGCTGAGTTGCTGTCCCCATACGCTGCTTGGCTGGGGGTGTCAGGTGCAGGGACACGAAGCCATCAGCTCTCCCCAGGCACCGTGTGTATGGCGAGGGGAGCACCAGCCACCTTGGCCATGAGGGGCTCACAGCCTCCTGTGATCCCTCCTGGGGAAAACCACCACGGCTCCAAACTCCTGGGCAAAACCAAGCTGTTCTTGTCCCCACGCTGCCGTGGCAGGACCGGGACGTGCGGGAGGGCGCGGACACGCTGATGGTGAAGCCGGGGATGCCCTACCTGGACCTCGTGAGGGACGTCAAGGCTCGGGTGAGGCCTGCGGGGCAGGGAGGGCTCTGGCTGGGGCTGTGGATTCTGTGTGCGGGGAGGGCGCTGGAGCACCGGGGTGTGCGGAGGGCAGTTCGGGCTGTCCCCGGCACTGACCCGCTCCCGCAGCACCCCACGCACCCGCTGGCCGTGTACCACGTCTCGGGGGAGTTCGCCATGCTGTGGCACGGGGCGCAGGCCGGCGCCTTCAGCCTGGAGGCGGCGGTGCAGGAGGCGATCACGGCCTTCAGGCGCGCAGGTGAGGCTGCGACCCCCGTGTCCCCCCCTCTCTATCCCCCGTGTCCCCCCGGGTGGCTCCAGCGTCTCGTCTCTCCGCAGGGGCCGACATCATCATCACCTACTTCACACCGCAGTTGCTGCGCTGGCTGCGGGAGGCGGCGGGCCAGCACTGAGCGCGGCCATTGCGGCTGCGGCGGGAATCTCGGGAGGGGCGGGTTATCCGGGATGGGAGGGAATTCCGGTAGGGGCGGGTTCTCCGCTAGGGGCCGGTTCTCCGCTAGGGGCGGCCCTTCCGGGCAGCGGCGCAGGTGGGTCCCGGCACTGCGCGGCTCCGCAGCCCCCGTGCACCGGGAGCTCGATTCGGTGAGCGCCGGCACCGCCCCGCACCTCTGGGACCCGCGGGGACACCGCGATCCTGCACCGGCGTTCCAGCGGTGCTCCCATCCCCGACTCCCCGGCTGTGCCCCGCACACCCTCCCCAGACAGCCCGGCCGTGCCCCTGACCCCCAGCCCCGGTGCCCCAGCTCGCCCCGTGTGCGGCACCCACGTGGCGAGTGTCGCTGTCCCGGCCTGGCAGGCTTTGCCCCTGGCACTCGGAGCAGGATTTGCCCTCCCTGCCGCGTCTCCGTGCTGACCCTAGAGTGCCCCTGAGCCCCGCCAGAGGGACACCGACGCTCGTACTGGGGCGGACAGAAGGCCGGGGTGCCCGCAGCCCTCGGATGTGAGTGGCTCCGCGGGCTCGGCGGTGTCGCCGGGCGCTGTCGAGGCCATGCTCCGGCTCCGCCTGCTGACCTGGGACGTGAAGGACACGCTGCTGCGGCTGCGGCAGCCCGTGGGCCAGAGCTACGCGGCCGAGGCCCGGGCCCAGGGGCTGCAGGTGCAGCCCGAGGCTCTGGGGCGCTCCTTCCGCGAGGTGTACGTAGCCCAGAGCCGGCGCTTCCCCAACTACGGCCACGGCCAGGGGCTCAGCTCCCGCCAGTGGTGGCTGGACGTTGTCAAACAGAGCTTCAAGCTCTCGGGCGTGCAGGACGAGGCAGCCCTGACAAAGCTGGCAGAGAAGCTCTACCGCGATTACTGCAGTTCCAACAACTGGGAGCTGCTGCCGGGAGCGGCCGAGACCCTGAGCCGGTGCCGCCAGCTCGGCTTCCGCATGGGAGTGGTGTCCAACTTCGACGGGCGGCTGGAAGCCATCCTCTCGAACTGCAGCCTGCGGCAGCACTTCGAGTTCGTGCTCACCTCCGAGGCCGCGGGCTTCGCCAAGCCGGACGGGAGGATCTTCGAGCAGGCGCTGCGGCTCGGCGGGGCGCGGCCCGAGCAGGCGGCTCACATCGGCGATGACTACAGCCGGGATTACCGGGCGGCCCGGGCCGCGGGCATGCACAGCTTCCTGCTGCGGGCGGCCGGGCACGCCGAGGGGCCCGAGGTGCCCCCCGAGCACGTCCTGCCCACGCTCAGCCACCTCCTGGCTCGCATCGAGAAGGAGTAGCTGCGGTTCGGAGGGGTCCGGTGCTGCTGCCAGTGCTGAACTGTCCTGACAGGAGATTTCTTGCTGCCACGTGGGCAGGGAAGAGCAGCAAGTCTGAGCTGTCTATGGAGCAGGAGGAGTTTCCATGCAATAAAACATTTCTGATCCCCAGCAGCAGAGCAGATGTGTTTCATGGCTCTAAGAACACCACAGAAGGTCAGCTGTGGTGTCTTCCCCTAACAGGGCTGGGACTGGGTCACTGCAGAGGTTCATTCTGGCAGATACTGAGGTTTATCCCATCTCACTCACTCCGGGGACAGGCCTAAACATCTCCCAGTGCAAGTGGTGGCCCTGTCCCAGGGAAGGTTTGCCCACACAGAGCACCCAGGGCACCCCTGCCCAGGCCCTGCACCCTCAGTGTACCCCAGCTTTGCCACCTCACCAACATCCTCCCCTTCCCAACAGCAGTGGGCAGGCAGGAGGTGCCTGCAGGTCTCCTGCTATGGGCAAAACAGCTTGGAGCTGGGCAATATCACTTAATGAATTGCCAATTAACAAACTTTACTGATTCAGGTAGTGAGAAATAAAGATGACCCTTTAAAGATGATTTTAAACCCCTTTCTCTGGCTCAACTCCAGGCCTACACCTCTCCTTCCTGGTACTGCCATCAGCTTCCCATGTTTGCACCACATTACACTCAAACCCCACTGCCTTGGGACACTCAGTTTTGGTTTCTTTCTGCTGGTCTTTGCTTGTTTGCTTGTCCCAGACTGGTCCCCCTCTCAGGGAGAACCCCTGTGCTGTCCCTGCTCTGCAGTGGGGTAGCTCCTCCCAAAAGCATCTCCAGCTGTGTCCCAATTGGGGAATGCCAGAATCATTAAGGCTGGAAAAGACCTTGAGGATCGAGTCCAGTTGTTCCCCCATCACTGCCTAGGCCACCATTAAACCATGTGCCACATCCACAATGCCTTTTAAACCCCTCCAGGGTTGGTGACTCCATCACTGCCTTGGGCAGCCTGTGCCAGGGCCTGACCACCCTTCCAGAGAAGGAATTTTCTCCATGATCCAACCTAAACCTCTCCTGGCACAACTTGAAGCTGTTTCCTCTTGTGTTGCCTGGGAGCAGAGCCTGACCCTCCCTGGCTCCTCCCTCTGCCAAGGAGTTGTAGAGCACACTGTGTCCCTTTCCATGGGCCTCCTCCCTGCCACTTCTCCACACATCTCTCTCACTATTTCTCCTCTCTTTTCCAGCCCACCAGCAGACTGGAAAGCTGCCTTTGGTGGGGCAGAAACCACACAATTCACCTAGGAGCAGCTGGCCAGGCAGGCATTCCCAGACCCCTCACCCCAGCACAGGGTGTAAGGAAAGCTGCAGAGAACACAGGAGGACAGGTGTAGTGTGAAGGCAGGTGTTGTCTGAAGGCCCTGGACACAGCCCCCAGCCCTGCCCCGGCTCCCTTCCCCCGGGCACTGCACACACAGTCACGCACGGGGGCCCAGCGAGATGCTCTGGTGTGCCACGGCAAAGACAGGGAACACGGGCTCCAGGAAGGGCTGCCGGTGGGAGAAGAGGATGGTGCAGGAGTCGGGGTCGTAGAAGAGCAGCTCCCCCCCTGCAAAGTCCAGCAGGACCCCGATCTCTGTGGGGGCCTTGATCAGCTCCACGGGCTGGGGCTGCCCCGCGTGCAGGAACCGGAATTCTTTGTCGTAGCGCGAGAACACCCAGGAGGCGGCGTTGAAGCCCAGGCGGCCTTCGTTGGCAGAGCCCTTCCTGGGCACGGAGCTGTAGCACACCCCCAGCTTGTAGGCACAGCTCTGCTCCACGCTGACCTTCCAGGCACACACCCCCGAGTGGAAAGGGGCAGTGGCCAAAGCGTTGGGCCAGTGGTCAAACCGCTCGGGGCAGCCCGAGTCCACCTTTGCTTTCTTGGGGCTGAAGGTCAGGGTTCTCTTGTCTTCTGACAGGCTGAGGTGGGGGCTCAGGGTTTTCTCATCGATGTGAATCTCCTGTGAGCCTGCAAGAGAAGCCATGTGATGAGCACTGATGCAGTGGCCACCACCTGAAGCACCTGAGGTGGTCATGGCTGTGAGAAACACAAGCACAATCACCCTCTCCTCACACACAGCTCCTGGGGGTGACAGTGCTGGGACTCAGGCTGGGTGCCACAGCTTCTCCTCCAGCCAGGGCCAGAACAAGGCAGAGACTCACCAAAGCCCAGACTCACCAGACACCTCTCCACCTTGCTCATCTTCCTCTGACCCTGGCCTGACTCCCACAGAACAGAATTTACCAGGTTTGGCTCACCCCACTTTTGGGAGAGATCCAAACCCAGCTCCTGTCCTTTCCCACCCCCACGGTGGGTGAGCAGGACCTGGCTGCTCCTCCCCCAGCCAGGAAAGCCGAGAGCCTGGCAAGCCTGGGAGGGCTGTGTGCAGAAAACCTGCAAAGCTGGAAAAACAGGACTGGAGAGGGCCGGGCAGGGAAATCTCTTTCCTGCTACAAAGCCCCAGGTGTTGATCAACCCGCCCTGAGGTGCAGGGAGCTGCACAAGGAGCTGGCACCAGGCTTAGAGCTGAGCATGGCTGTGACTGGGTCTGGCTTAGCTGTGAAAGAAGAGGGTGCCCAGCTGCACAAACCCAGCCAGTAGCAGCCCAGGCTGGCCAGAGGACAGCACCCACTGTGGGTCTGCACCACTTGAAAGTCATGGAATCACAGGACTGGAAAAGACCTCTAAGATCATGGTGCCCTGCCATGGCTGCATGCTTCCCCCTGAGACCCCTCTGTGGGTGTGCAGCTGTGGAACTGCAGAAGTGTGTCCCTCAGTCCCTAAATTGGTGAAGCAGGGGTGAGGCTGATGCCCAGCAGACTCACCTGCTCCTGAGGAAACCCAGGTCCTGCCAGCAGGTGCCCCTCCTTGCTGCCTTCCCCCACCCTCACTTTATTCATTTTAGGTCTTAAACCACCACGGAAACAGGGCTGGAGGGGTGACTCAGTGGCTCTGCCAACCCTGCCAGCAGCTCTACCCCATCATGCCAGGGCCAGCCATTGCCCAACACTTTCTGCTGAGCATCCAGAGCACAGCATGATGAGAACCTTAAAGAACCAAAGGATGACCTCAACAGGGTCATCCCAGAGCCCAGCCTGCTCCAGGAGCCAGGTCAGCATCCCTCCAGCAGCAAACACCACCAGCAATGCTCCAGGGTTCCCTCAGGCTGCACCTGCCCAGGTGCTCCCCGGCAGATGAAGAGAGGCTGAATTATCCCTTTGCAAATCAGTGCCATGCACCTGTGCACGTTAGGCAGGAGTTATTGCAAACAAGAGTGAGCCCAAAGAGGAGCTGAAGCCAGCACTTCCTTCAGCAGGAGCTGCCAGCCTCATTCATCTGATGATTTATTTCCCTACACAGCAGCCAAGGCTGAACTCTCCACAGGGCTCTGGGCTGCCCACGCTGCTGCTCCTGTGCAGGGTGGCTTTCCAGGAAGCCAGAGCTGCTCTGAATTCATAGAAAACACAGCAGCACCAGACTTCATCTTCCTCTGGCAGGAGGAGGGCACTAAACCTCCTGTGGTGCCACACACAGCTGACCTAGGGCTGCATCCTGGTGGTCCATGTGGGGAAACACCACCCCAGTGACACCCACCCTGCTCTGCTGTGGAGCTGCAGTTCCAGGGGAGCATCTGAGGGAGGGGAAGTGCTGGCAAAATAACAGCACAGTAATTCAGATCAGCAAATTTTGCCCCTCACACAAGTGTTTTGCATGATTAAATCTGGATTTTCACGTATAATTCTGATGAATGATTCCACTGGGAATTCATCTCGCCCCCAAGTCTGTTTTCTCTGTGTCCTGTATCCATCAGGACATGAGGGACACTGGGACAATAAATTCCCATGGTTAACAGCTCTGGGGAGCACATTTGTGTGAGCTGCAGCACATCTGGCTGCTGTTAAAAATCCAAGTTCCCATGAACTGAGATCCCTCCCAAAACGGTGCCAGGAGATTTACATCACCCTGTGGTGCAAGGAAGAAGCTGCCAACCCCAAACAGAAGTGATGCAGAAGGCTGGATGCCAGGTGAAGGCATCAAAGGAATGATGTTTATTTTTGAGAGTGACATAGAGGCCCTTTTGCAGCTGCTTTCCAAGTATTTTAGAGGTTATGGAGTGAGCCATCAAGGCTTGGGATTTTCTGGTTTCAAGCAAATAAACAAGACAGCCACCTGCTCACCTGCCTTTGGGAGAAGGCACAGAGTGACACTTCACATTACTGAGTCTTAAGGCAAGCTCAGACCACTGCTGTTTAATATTAAATCTCTAAGGCTTGGTCCAGAGTGGCCTGGGGACTGATGAGATCCACAAGGATACACCAGGCATCCTCAGCATGCAGTAATGACATGTGAAATGTAACCACACACTCAAAAAACCCCAAAGAGAATGAAATTCCTGTGTAATAAGTGCATCAGCACACCCACCACAAGAATCAAATGCCCTAAAGTCATTACATTTGACAAGGATAGGGAGAGGAATCCTTACAAAAATTCTGTCCCAGCAAAGGAAATTAGGGAAAGGGTTCCTGCTTGACTCCACAGCTCTGAACATTGAGAAGCTGCTTCACTGATTCTTTCAGCAAGAATTTCTTCACTGAATGGGCTGTTGAATACTGGGAGGGACTGTCCAGGGAGGTGGTGGCATGACCATCCCTGGAGGTGGCCAAGGCACAGCTGGACCTGGCAGTCAGTGCTCTGGGCTGGGTGACAAGGAGCTGATCACAGGTTGGACTGGATGCTCTTAGAGGTCTTTTCCAACCTGAATAATCCTGGGATTTTGTAACACTGTCAAGGCACCACTGCAGGGGCTGGCACAGAATTCTGTGACACTGTCAATGCACCACTGCAGGGACTGGCACAGAATCACAAAGTGATTTGGGCTGGAAGGGACCCTAAAGATCACCAAGTCCCAACCCTCTGCAGCACTCACAGATCCCAAAGAGGAAAATTAATCACAAAGGGAGAGCACCAGAGTTTGCAGCAGATAAACACATGATGGTAGTGCTTGATAGGCACAGACTCTCAAAACCATGACAGCAATAAAAGCCTGAAGTGCAGACTTTGGAGATGGGCTTGGAAACAGGGAAAAACTGAAAACAGCTCATCAAAATCACAGCAAGATGAGCAGAAATCAGAAGTTTTATAGCAGCTTTGGGAAAACACACTAGGGATTGTTCACAAGGCAAATTATGAAGGATACTGCCATCTCTGAGAAACAAAAAATGCATTTGAAATACTCTAACAACAGACTAAAACCAGAGTAAAAGCAAACATTTCACAACCAGCCATTCAAGCACATCACAGCCAGAGGAAAAATGTCCTTCCCTGCTTACCACAGCCAGCACCAACCAGGTAAACCAGTCCCAGAGCCTGTCAGTGGCCTGACCAATGCCTCCAGTGCAGCCTCAGCTGCACACAGGGGCTGAGCCAGAGCACAAACACCTCCAGAACCACCAGCTCGTGCACAGCCACCACCTCAGCCTGTGATCAGAACACTCACTGCTCCATCTACTCACTGCCCCCTGCACTGGGCAGCATCACTGACACCCCCCAGATGAAATCACCCTCTCAAAGTCCCCAGCAGCCCAGTGCTAAACGTTGTGAACAGAGATTTCTGTGCCACAGATTCCCACAGCAGCATCAGCTTCACTGCTGTCACCCAGAGACTCAGGAAACAGCAAAAGGAACCACACAATGTTAAAGCCACAGAGCTGATAGTACACACAATCTTTTCAAACTCCAGTTCTTCCTGGAGCCACAAGTGCTTGGAGCCACCCCCTACATCCCCCACAGCTGCTGCTGCCTCCCTGAATGGGCTCCAAGAAACAAGGGCTGGGGGAGCAGAGGGGCAGGACACAGGGTGAGGAAGTTTGGACACAGTGTGAGAAGTTTGGACACAGTGTGAGAAGTTTGGACACAGGGTGAGGAAGTTTGGACACAGCACCAGGGAGTTTCTCTGGGCACAACAAGAGAGGGTGCAGGAATCCCTGGAGCATGAGAGATCTGAGCAAGGCACTGACCTGTGAGGCAGCAGAGCACAGCACAGGCCCACAGTCGATGCAGCAGTGGACTCTGAACACAGCTCTGATTAAAGTTTAACTTCAGGGACTCCTGGGGCTCCAAGATTCCCTCTGCCAGCTCTGTCCTAGCAAACGAAAACAGGAGCTGTTTCAAAATACAATGATTTATTGTGCTGGGAGGTGTTTAAAAGATTACAAGGAGGTATGGCAGAGGTTAAAGAGGAGCTCTGGCTGCAGAGACCACAGCAGGGGTGTCTGGGCCAGCTCTCACCCCCAGTGATACTTTGGGCTGGCTCTGCTCACAGCTCCTGGTGAAAGGGCTGCAGTGTTGTAAAACACATCCCAGCAGCCTGAGCCAACAGCTCCTCACTCAGCAGACACAGGGTAAATAAATGTGTCTGTGAGCAGCCATCAGGGTACAGGGGAGCACCATGAACAGGCAGAGAATCAGATTTCCCTCTACTGCCACAGCCCCACAGTCTGGGCACAGAGCAAGCCAGGACAGCAGGTTCCACCCAGCACAGAGCCAGGGCTTTGCTGGCTCCTGTGGCCTGCAGAACTCCTGGTTGTGAGGACAGGCTGTGGCCCAGCTGCTGGGGATGTGCTGGGGCACATTCCATATTCTCCACAGGCACAAATACCCCCAACAGGTCCTCTGGGCAGCACCCTCACAGCAGCCACAGAAATAAATGGCTCAAATAAAATGAAATAGATTAAATAAAAACACAACCACCAAGGTGCTTCCTCAGGAAGGGCAGCCCAGTGTCAGTGATAGGGCTGTGGGGACACTGGGACCTGCAGCTGGCTCTCCCTGCCTGTGCAGAGCTGGGCAGATGCTGTGCCAGCCACCCCCTACATGGAGCACAGGCCATCCCAGCTGCTGCCAACAGCCTGGCACAGGCCTGCTCCAGCCCCCAGCAAGCCCTGGGGTTTCCTGAGGAGCTGCAGAAGTTCTCCCAGAAGCAAGGACTGCTGAGAGCACATGGAGCATCCCCAGGTGCAGCACAGCACAAGGAGCAGAGACAAGAGGCCACGCTGACATCTCTGTGCTTTTATCCACAACAAAGGCAGCACGAGGGACAAAGGAGGTGTCATGGGGTGCCTGAGTCATGGCACACAGCACAGGAGCTGTGGGGATGCAGGTGTGGAGCAGGAGCAGGGAAAGCTTGGAGCAGGGGCAGGGAAAAGAGCAGGAGCAGCCAGGTACTGACCTCTCGAAGATCTCTTGTTCTGCACGCTGGGGACAAGGAGAGAAAGAGTCATCAGAGCTTAAATCCCCACAGAAAACACCCCAAACACAGCAAGCCCAGGACCTGGGGAGCAGTGTTCCCCTTCCTGACCCCAACCCCAGCTCTTGGCAGCAGCAGGAGCATCCAACATCCATTTTCTTCACCTGCAGCATTCTCAACTCTGAAAATGAGTGGGAATGGCTGAAGGCAACACATTGCACGTGTGGCTGGGACACTGCCTGCTGTTCCCTCCCTGTCCCCACCCCACCAGGGCAGGCTGCAGGAACAGCCTGTGCTCCCAGCAAACAATCCCAGGGCTTCCAGCAAAGGAGGGAGGCTGCAGAGGGACTAAGCCAAGAGTCAGGTTACCTCATGGTCAGTCCCACTTGTTTCTGTACCTGCTGGGCATGAGGCACTCTCAGGGTACAGCAAAGTGATAAGGAAATACCTGATCCCTGCTCAAACCCAAGCAGTGCACTCTGCATGCCTTCAGCTTTCCTGTGGCATGCCATGTGTTGGTTCCAGATAGGCACAAGTACCAACACTGACAGCCCAGGGTGAACATGAACCCCTAATTCCCTTCCAAAGGGGAAACTGAGGGTGTAGCTGCTCTCTGCCACAGGCAGTGATGGATCCTGGTCTCCAACCTCTGCACCTTATGGTGCAGCTACAGGATAGGAACTGCCTTTCCCACCAAAGGAGCATCTGCCCTCTTTCCATGGGATTGGCTCTGTTTTCCAAGCCAAACTCCTGTTCCTCTCCTGACAAATTTACATGTGGGAAGCAGAGGCTGAGCATGGTGATGGCAAGGCAGAGGTTCTGCTCACATCTAAAATGAGAGGAATCACTTGGGTGAACCCAGATGATTCAATAACCAGAGAAGGAACTGAGCAAGGGGAAGCACAGGCTGCTTTGCACAGCAAATACCCCTGACAGGGCTAAGCCAGGCAACACAGGGGACTTTCCAGAAGAGCTGCAGGTGTTCCCAAGGGTCAGTTTTGATTAAACCAGACACTAGAAAACTGGTGGCACAACTAACTGTTGTAAGAGCAGCTCACAACCCAGAGCTGTCCTGGCTGTCCAGCCTAAGGGCAACTACAAGCTCAGAATTTGGAGACCTGAACATGGGTGGTTCTGGACCTCACTGCAAGCAAGAGCAGAATCAGGCAGAGCAGATGCTCTAGGAACCACCAGAAACCACAGGAGATTATCAGGATCAGGTCAAGGAGGTTCCCTGAGCCAGACCTGCAAATTGCTGCCCAGGGAGGTGGTGGAGTCCCCATCCCTGGGTGTGTTTAACAAAGCCTGGATGTGGCACTGGGTGCCAGGGTTGAGTTGAGGGGTTGGGGCATGGGTTGGATTCGATGATCTTTAAGGTCTCTTCCAACCCAGTGATTCTTTGTGTGATTTCTCTGTGTGATCCTTCACCTGCGAATTCTGTGAATTCTTGACGTCCTGCCCACCTCTGCCTCCCTGCTGGCAGCACAGCAGCTGCTGAACTCTGCATTCAAGTCCCATAACACGATGTGCAGGTCAGCTCTGGGCTGCCTGACTCACAGCACTCACCAGCAGGCCCTGGTCATCCAGGCTGGTGATCATGTCCACCAGGTAGGTGCGGAGGGCACCCAGCTTGTGCAGAGCCTCTGTCCAGTGCACCTGCTGGGTGAGGATGCTCTGGTGTGCCCTCTCCTCCTCGGCGTGCACCCTCTCCAGCAGCCGCTGCTCCTCGTTCTCGCAGGCCTTGCCCACCAGGAGCAGCCTCTGCACCACCAGCTCCCGCGCCGCGCTGGCCGCGCTCTGCCGGGCAAGGACACAGCGGGACATCAGCCCTGCCCCAGCCCGGGAGCAGCCCCACCCCCGAGAGGAGTCCCAGCCCCGGGGGCATCAGCCCTGGGAGCATCAGCCCGGCCCCAGCCCCGGGAACAGCCCCAGCCCCGAGAGAATCAGCCCTGCCCCAGCCCCGGGAGCACCAGCCCTGCCCCAGCCCCGAGAGGAGTCCCAGCAGCTCTGCCTGTGCCCCTGGGGCTCAGCCATTGGTGCTACTCTGAAAACTGAGCCCATGGCACCACATCAGCCCAAACCTGCCCACTGCCTCCTCAGCCAGCCCCGGTACCCAAGTGACAACAGGCACAGAGTTCTGTCCTCAGCAAATCTCCAGAGATTCACTCTGGGTGAGAAACAGAATAGGCTGAGACAGGTGAGGTGCTCAGACACCAGGGAGAACTTACAGCCCCTTCCAGTGCCTAAAGGGGCTCCAGGACAGCTGGAGAGGGACTTGGGACAAGAGCCTGGAGAGACAGGACAAGAGGGATTGGCTTCCCACAGCCAGAGGATATTGGGAAGCAATTTTCCTTGCAAGGGTGGTGAGGTGCACGGGGTGCCCAGAGAAGCTGTGGCTGCCCCTGCAAGTGTCCAAAGCCAGGCTGGATGGAACTTGGAGCAACCTGGCATAGTGGGATGTGTCCCTGCCTATAGTAGAGAGTTGAAACTGAGTAGTTTTTAAGGTTTCTTCCAACCCAAACCAGTCTGGGATTCTATGATTCTATCACTATCCTTTGTCCTCAGTGGCAGCAAGGAACAAATAAAATAAACCTAGGAATTCTAAGGCGCTGATCCTTGTACGACGTTTGATTGTTGTACCCTCACACCATTGTCTGTGCACATTTTCTAGGCAAATGAAGCAGGAATTCCAGGCACACCCTGGCATTCCATTTCCACAGCCGCATTCCCCCGGGAGCTGAGCATCCCTTCCACGAATGGCGAGCAGGGAGCAGGCAGGGCCAGCCTCGGGACTCACCTGGACGTCCTGGTCTTTGGCCGGCAGCACCTCGTCCACGTGCCGGGCGATGGCCGCGCTCTGCAGCTGGATCCGCTCGCAGCGCTCCACGAGCTTGTTCTGGGGCACGGACACCGCGGGGATGGCTGCGGGGCTGGACGGGGCCCCGAGCCCACACCCACACTCGCCCGGTGCCCTGCACCACCCCACAGACAGCCCCCATCCCCACGGGGGACCCCTAACAGCCCCACACCCGCCAGGGCCCCACAGCTCCCACACTGCCTGGAGCCCCTCGCAGAGCGCCCGTCCCCATCCTTGGGTGGGCTCACACTCCTTCAGAGCACCCAGCTCCCCATGGGAACCACCGGCATGATCCCACGCCCTGCCAGGGACCTCCACACACCCCAGGGACCCCCGCGGCCTCACACCGTGCCAGGGACCACCACAGCCCCACACACCCTCAGGGACCCCACACCCTGCCAGGGACCCCCGCGGCCCCACACAGCCCCAGAGACCCCACACAGCCCCAGAGACCCCACACCCTGCCAGGGTCCCCCGCGGCCCCACACACCTTGCCAGGGACCCCACATCCGGTCTGGGACCCCCGCGGCCCCACACAGCCCAGGGACCCCACATCCCGTCCGGCACCTCCCACCCCGTCAGGGATCCCTGTGGCCCCATAGCCCCACCGGGACCCACACACACACTCAAGGAGCCCCATATCCCCCCCAGGGAGCCCCATATTCCCCCAGGGACGCTCGTACCCACCCAGGAGCCCTTACACTCCCTGCACGCTCGCCCGGACCCCCCGTCCCGCCGGAACTCCCCAGCCCCGCACGACCCCTCTGCCCCGCCCCGCCCAGCCCAGCCCAGCCCCGCGCTCCCCTCAGCCGGCCCGGCCCGGCCCGGCCCGGGGTCCCGGCGCTCACCCGCAGCCGCTCGGCCCGGGCCATGCTGTGCCCGCACCTGCCGCGGGGGCGGCGGCCCCGCCCGGCCGCGCTCGGCGCTCCAGGCTCGGCTCCGCCCCGGCCCGGCCCCGCCGGGAGCCGGCAGCGGGCGGCGGCACGGGCGGGACGGCGCCGGGGCCACTGAGGGTGAGTGAGGGTGAGGGTGAGGGTGAGTGCGCGGCGGGGCCGGGCCGGGCCGGGCCGCGGGGCTGCCCCAGCGCAGGGACGCGGCTCTTCACAAACCTTTCCTCACAAACCTTTTCGCAAACTTTTCCCGAGGGCTGGCCCGCCTCGCCCCTGCCAGCGGCACATGGCACTTGAGGGGCTCCCTCGGGATGCTCCCATCACAGAGACCCGGGAAGCTCCCATCGAACCCCACAGGGACACCCCCACTACAGGGATGCCCCCACCACAGGGACCCGGAATGCTCCCATCGAACCCCACAGGGACACCCCCATCCATAGAAACCCAGAATTCTCCTATTTAATCCCACAGGGATACCCCCACCACAGGGACCCAGAATGCTCCCATTTAACCCCACAGAAACACCCCCATCACAGGGGACCCAGGATGCTCCCAGTGACCCTGACAAGGCCACCCCCATCCATAGAGACCCAGGATGCTCCCATTTAACCCCACAGGGTCACCCCCATCCACAGACACCTGCCAGCACCACTGTGGGTCACACCCAGCTCCAGGAACCCAGGAACATCCTGGGTTCAGTCAGACCGACACCCCCGTTTTCCCCAAAGCCAAACCCCTCCTCGAAAGGATGCTTATTCCCCCGTGAGGATGGGGCAGCTCCTCTGGGGTCTCTGTGCTGCTGCTGTGGTGGTTGACGTTCCTTATCCCAGGGCACAGGTTTCACTGCAGAGCCTGGACAGGTGGAGGCAGCAGCATGGCTTATTTTTCTAAAGCAATTCAGCAAAAAAGGTGTTTGATTTCTGTCAAGTGATGGATTTGGGGGGAAGGGAGGATAAGGGCATCCTCCAGCATGAAACTCAGGCTGCTGGAGGTGAAGCTTGGTGTGGATCAGTTGTTGTAGGATCCCTGAGTTTTTAGAGCTTTGTGGTGGAGCAGCTGATGCATAAACGTGTGTGGGGATACAGACAGCAAAACCTTGGATTAACATCCTGCCTGAGCTCTGTTCTCATCCAGGATGCAGAGAAATCTGCTCTTTCTTGCAGTGAGGAAGAGGCAGGAGAAGAGTGAGACACAGGACAAAGCTCCCACCTTCCCTGCAGTCTCCCCTGGCCTCGGGCAGCTCCCTGTGAGTGGATGTGCAGGTAGGGATGAACAAGAACTAGCTGCTGGTTGGAAACAGTAACCATCACTAAAAACTCAGAATTCCTCCCTCAGCTTTTCCTAGTCTTGTTTTGCAACTTCCAGAGTTCTCCCACGGTCAGAGAAAAATCACATTCTTGATGGACTGAAATGATTGGGGCACTCAGTCTGATTGAAAGAATAAATTGCCAAATTAACACAGCCCCTCAGCTGTGAGATTGATCATTCCTCACATCTTTGGAACATGCAAACTCATGGATAGAACAGCAGGAGATTAACTGGGTATTACTAATTGCTAATCACAAAGGATGTCAGGGTAAAATTAGAAAGGGAATTTTGTAGAAACCTTTTGCTCAGTGCTTCCAGGATTTGGTTTTCACTTTTTTTTTTTGTTGTGGGCAGAACCTTCAAGCAGTTTTTTGCTGGAAAAAGCAGATTGGGTTTTGTGTCCCTGATTTTGATTAGCAAAATGCTGCAGCCATGGAAGATGGGCATGCCACCAGACTAAATCCAATTAGTGTGCCTTGAGCTAAGCTGCAGCAGTTATTGTCTGTGACAATTCACTGTCACTGAGACTGCTTTCTGCTGGCTCTGTGGGGACATGGGGGAGGTGCTGCTGCTCACCTGGCTGGGTCTGCAGGCTCTGCCTGTGCTGTCCCCTCTGGGCAGGGACCAGCCTGGCCCCAGCCTGGCCAGCAGCTGTTTCTGAATGCATCTGGGTTATCCACATGGTCTTGCCGTGCCTGGAACTGGTGTATGGACATGGAAACTCTTCCCAAAGTGTTCCTCAGCTCATGGAAAGATCACTTCAAGCATTGCCAGGCTGCCTCACTTGAGCTGGGGCTGCCTGTGCCTGCACTTGGTCCCACCAGCTGCTGCACAGCTTCAGTCTGAAGGTGTTTGCCTTTTCCAAGCCAAACACTGGGATCTCCAGGATGTATGGAACTTCCATACAGATCCAGACCAGATCCAGGAGTAACAGGAGGTGTAAAGAGTGCCAGGCAGCAGCTCCAGCTCTGTTGTGGCCTCACCAAGCTTGGGCATTTCTAAGCTCAGTGCGAGGCCCCAGTGAGCTCACCCTGCTGCTGGCTCTGCCCTACAGCTAAAGGTTCCACTAGGGACCTCCAGATGTCCCCTCCTCTGAAGTTTTCTCCTTACTCTGAATGCAGTTAGGATGTAGAAAACACATTACCAGCACCTTATCCTGTATGTGTGACAAACAGAAACCCCTCTGGATCCCTGGTGGTGCTGTGTCCCCTCACCCACAGGTCCTGTCCCCACAGCAGGTGCCCAAGGTGCTGATGTGACACCCACCACTGGTTGCCAGGACCATGGGGAAACTGCAGAGTAAAATCAGCTTCCACACCACCAAATACAGGTAAAGCAATGCTGGGAGATCTGGTCTTGTTAATAAACCAGGGGTGAGAGGGAAGAGAGCACAAAGTTTCATTATTGGATGTTTGAACCAGATTTTCGTTTCTAACCCTTACTTTTAAAGTCTGCTCAGCTTTTTGGGGGGGCTGAAATCCCAAGTGTCACTCACAGGAATGGCCAAGCACAAAACCATGGCAGTGGTTGTGCTCTGTGATGGCTGAGGCAGAGCTCTGAAGGGGAGCAGCTCCAGGAGTGGCTCTGTGGCCCAAATACCCAAACTGCTTTATGTCCTCAGAGCCTGTCACCAGCCTTCATGGCCAAGATGAAATAATTCAGTCCCTGACAGCAGGGAGAGGGTTCTGTGCCTGGAGAGCAGCACAGGGTGGCAGTGGGGGGACTCATGGCCTGGGAGGTGTCACAGCAAGGAGCAGCAGAGCCTGACCCATGTGAGTGACTGTGGAGGCTGAGCCTGACCCATGTGAGTGACTGTGGAGGCTGGTGAGGTCAAAATCTCTTTTCTTTGCACCAGCACAGAGTGAGGGACAATCAAATATTCAGCAGCTCTGGAGCTGGGAAAGTTCTGCTCCATCTCACTCACAGCCTCTCTCTGGCTTTCCAAGACAGATGTTGTCGTGTCAGAAGATGCCAGAGGTGCCAGGGGATGGCATCTGGCCTCTCCTCCAGCCCCTGCACTCCCGCTGCTGTCCCTGTCCCTCTGCAGGGCCGAGGGCTCCGTGGGACAGACGGGACCTGCTGGTGCCTCCTGGCAGCACAGCCCTGCTCACACTGATGCTGTCACCTCTGTGGCTGCCCTCAAACCAGACCTGTGCGTGTCAGGAGGAAGGGATAAGGTGAGGTATCCCCTGGGACAGGATAATACATCAACAGCTTCACAAGTAAGGTTGGAATGTGAGCTTTGAACATTGCCGTGGATGGTGGCTGTGTCAGTGCCTGGATTTAGAAAGGAAAAATGAGCTTAGAGTGAGGGCACACCCTGAAGCACATGGAATCAAATTTTGTAACCTCTCCAGAGCTCGTATCACATCAAATGCTCCCACCCAGGCTTGGGATCGCCAACTGACTCTGACATCACCTGCCTTTAAGGACAGCTGAACATGCTGTAGGAGCTGAAAACCAGAGGAACCTGTTCCCTGTGCTGTGGACTGTGCACAAGCCTTGGTGTGATTATCCTCCCTGCCCTGCTCTGTGCTGACCCCTGTCCCTGTCCCTGCAGAGCGTGGCTGTGTCCAGCTGGAGGTCTGGGGCTGCCCTGCGCCGCTTCACCGGCCACGAGCGCGAGGTCACCAAGGTGAGAGCTGGGGAGCCAGGGGTGATGCAGCACTGGTTTGTGCTCCACAAGAAGGGTGGGATCAGGGTGTTCCTGACATCCAGCTGGGGATGGTTGGGCTGGATGACCTTAAGGGTCTTTTCCAAACTTCATGATTCATGATTCTGTGATCAGAACACATTAGGTTCTTCCCAAGGTCCCAACAGGTACTTTTGGAAGCAGCATGGAGTGTTGCATTCAGACTAAACAGGGCTGCAGGAGGTCTGGATGTGAGCTTGTCTTCCCCTCCAAGAGATTGTATAGCAGAAGCTCAGGATGAATTATGAGGTCAAGCTTTTGATGCAGTGATGCCATTCACTTTTCTTCAGGCCTCATTCTGCTAGACTTGACATTATTCCACAAATCAGCTGTGCCTGGCTGAGACATTCTGGGAATATCCATGCCATGTGCCATAGCTGGAATATTCTGGGAATGGCAGGGCTTTCATTTCCTTTCTGGAATTGGGATGACAGAGCCAAGCAGGTTTCTGGAGAGCAGAGGGGCTGTAGCTGTGTGTGGTGTGGCCAGTGCACCTGCACAGGGGACAGCCCCAGTGGGTACTGCAAAGACAAAGGGGGCTTTGTGCACCTCAGTGCTCAGAACAGCTGTGCACTGGGCTCATTTGGGTTTGCAAGGATGTTTTTCCTATAAAAGGAATGGTTCCTAAGAACAAGACCTGAGATGCACCATCCCTGGCTCTGAGGGGATATGGGACAGAGTTGGGAGGCCAGACTTTGGGAGTCATGTTCCTGCATGTGGCAGGACAGCAGCAGAGTTGTGAGCTGGGTGTGAGGATGAGCAGCTTCTCCTTCTGTCCTTGGCAGGTCACCTCAGCCCTCGACTCCAGCAGAGTCTTCAGTGCGTCCCGGGACAAGACAGTGATGATGTGGGAGCTTCAGGGGACTGCGGGGCCAAGGCAGCACTTCCCAGGACATGACCTGGTTGTTACTGGGCTGGCTGTGAGCCCAGGTGAGGGACATTACACTGTCCTCAGGGACTGACTGACAGCGTTTCCTGCCCTGTTTTTGATGTTAATTGTGGTTGCAGATGCCTCCCAGCTGTGCACGGGCTCCCGGGACAACACCGTGTGCAAGTGGGACACTGAGACTGGGGAGTGTCTGGGCAGAGCTGCAATCTCCAGGAACCTGGTAGGATCTGCTGGTTCCTCCCATCCCATCCCATCATCCATCTCCCTGCCTACATTGTTATTTCACATGTGGAGCTGTGCAGAGAGGATTTTCTGGGAGCTTGGTGCCAAAGGGAGCCCCTGGGACATTGTGCACCTGGGCAGGCTCAGCTTGAGGCTGGTTATTCTTCTCCAGGTAACAACAAACCCAGGAGCACAAAGGTACCAAGGGACTCGTGGCAATTTATCAACGCTCTAACTCAGAGCTGTTTGGAAGAGTCATGGAATCGCTGAGGTTGGAAAAGACCTCTAAGACAGAGTCCAGCCATTCCCTCAGCACTGCCACAGCCACCACTAACTCATGTCCCCAAGTGCCACATCAGCATGGCTTTTAAATCCCTCCAGGGATGGTCACTCCACCACTGCCCTGGGCAGCCTGTGCCAATTCCTGACCACCCTTTCAGCAAAGAAATTTTCTCCAGTATCCAACTTTAACCTCCCTCGGCACAACTTGAGGCAATTTCTTGTAATTGCTTGTTCCCTGGGAGCAGAACCTGACCCCCACCTTCTGCACCCCTGTCAGGGAGTTGTGGAGAGCCAGATCCCCCTGAGTCTCCTTTTCTCCTGGCTGAACAAGGCCTGTGCAGTGGGGCTGCATTCCCTCCTGTCCCAGCCCAGAGCTGGGGTGGGTGCCAGCCCTGGTGCCTGTGCTGTCCCTGGCTCTGTGTCCTGCTGCTGCCACCTCCCAGCCTCCATCACCCCCAGCAACCCCACTGGGACTGGAGCTGGCAGGGGAGCAGAAAAAGTCTTCATCCAACATTTCCAGCTCCCAACCCAGCAGGAGGAGGGAGAGGATGGGAGCTCAGTGGTTCCATCCTCAGGCAGGCACAGCCTGGGCTGCACACAGAGGTGGCTCCTGCTCATCCTTCCCTTTCCACAGGTCACACACCTGTGCTGGGTTCCTGGGGAGCCTTATGTCATCCAGACCTCAGAGGATAAAACCACCAGGTAAATTCTCCCTGTGGCCAGAGAGCAGGGAGGTTCAGCCCGAGGCTGTTGTGGGGTTGGTTGTCGTGACCCCTGCTGGTGTGCCTAAAAGCCACCTGCCAGCTCACCTGGGAGTGTGACCTGCAGCCAGGGACAGGGGCTGGGAGCAGCACTGGGTGGTGACTGCGGGTGAAAAGGAGAACCTGTGAGAAAGAGAGCTGGAGAGTGATCCAGCACGGATAAATGCAGGGAGAGTTTGGGAGCAGCTGTGGGCACAGCCAGTGTGTACAGGAGGGCTCAGAGGGAAGCCACGGTGGTGATGATGCCTCAGGGTCCCCCTGCTGTTCCCTGCAGGGTGTGGGACAGCCGGGAGCTGCAGGTGGCCCACACGTTCCCAGCCAAGCAGCACATCCAGACGTGCTGTGACGTGAGCCAGGACGGGCGGTACTGCCTCAGCAGCAGCAGCGGCTCCGGCGGCCACGGCGCCGAGGCCACCGTGAGTGCCCCGGGCAGCCCTGGGCTCCTCCTCCATCCCCTCCCACCCCACGGCACACAGGGAGAGCAGCACAGCACTGCTCAAGGCAGCCAGCCCTGGGCTCTGCTCCCTCCCAGACAGGGAGAGCAGCACAGCACTGCTCGAGGGAACCAGCCCTGGGCTCTGCTCCCTCCCCTCCCACATCCACTGCAAACAGGGAGAGCAGACAGCACCGCTCAAGGCAGCCAGCCCTGGGCTCTGCTCCCTCCCAGACAGGGAAAGCAGCCCATCACTGCTCGAGGGTCTGAGTGCTCCCACTGCCTTGGCCTTGGTGTCCTCCTGCCTGTCCCTTTGGGAAGTTTTGCTTGGGGAATAGCAGCAGTTGTTCCTCCTGATTAAACCACTGGGGTTTGCCCCATCCCTGGAAGTGTCCAAGGCCAGGTTGGAGCACCCTGATCTACTAAGTGGTATCTGTGCCCATGGCAGGGAGTTGAAACTCTTTAAGGTTCTTTATGGTTCCTTCCACCCCAAACCAGTCTGGAATTTCATTTCAGTAAAACACACAGGGGAAAAAACAATGGATGCCATTGAGGAACACAAGGTTCTTGCAGAAATCCTGTAAGGGATCCTTTGCTCCAGGTGTTTCCAAACCAGGGATTCAGTCGTGCAGATTTTCAGCCCTTTGTGTGAGGATCAAGAGGATGAAACAATCCCATCCCAGGGTGGGCAGGGCTGAGGATGGGAGCAGGCTGGACACTTCTTATCTGCCTGCACAGTCTTAGCTTGTTGGCTCTAATGGGTGTGGCCATGTCCTCAGTCACTGGTGTTGAAAATCCTTTGGGCTTTGATGTTCTCCAGACTGTGAGCACGAGCAGGGACAAGGGCAGTAACCTTTTATCCCAACCCACCTTCCTGTCTGGGTAAAACAACACCGTGCTGGCAGAGCTGGGGCTCTACCACTGCCTGTTTCTGCAGCTCTGGGACCTGAGGCAGACCAGGGGCCGGGTGTGTGAGTACAAAGGGCATTTCCAGACCACCACCTCGTGTGTGTTCCTGCCCCGGGGGCCCACGCTCGCCCCCAGCATTGCCACATCCTCCAGCGACAGCACAGTGAAGCTCTGGGACCAAGGCACTGCAGGTAGGGGAGGCTCCTGCCCACTCTGCTCCTTTCTCCTGGATAGCAAACCCACCTTCCCCCAGTTCTGTCTGCTCGTGGTGCTGGGCAGGGTGACTCTGCAATCTCTGGAGTTCACTCCAAGCCTGCAGGGCAGGGTGGAGAAATGGCCCGGAACAAACCCAGGGCTCAACAAACACGAAGGAGCTGCATGTCTCAGATTACAGGGATCTTCTCTCAGCTAAAAGGAAGAATTACCAGGGAACTTTTAAAGATACATCAGAGTTAAGCCATGAAAGGACAAATGATAACAAGGAAAAAGAACAGGGGAACTCCAGAGATTTCTGCAAGTACAAGTAGAAAGGTGTAAGGAATAGAATTTGTACTGGGGGACAGAGGGCTGGTCAGCCAACACCCTCATTTTGGTTGTCCTCCTGAAGGGGAATCATGGGTATTTTTGGGGTTAAACCTGGTGGTGAGGGTGAGTCCCTCCCGAGTTGGACACAAAGGGGTTTGTTTGCCTGCCAAGCCCTGCCATGGCAGCAGGTTCTCAGTAACCCTTGTGCTGCAGGCAGAGACCTCTTGGGAGCTGTTCAGCTTCACAGCATTAGACACTCCCCAGGGCTAAGCTCCTCTCCAAGGGAACTCATTTAAGATGGGATGAAAATAGAAACCTGAGGCTCTCCTGCAGAGAAGGACCTTCTGTTCCCTTACCTGTTCCTTTCCTGTGCACCCAGGGTGGCTGTGGGCTGGCAGCAGCTTTGATCCTCTTGCCTTCCCAGCTGGGTGAGCCATGATCCAGCTGCTCTGGAAGGGTGCAGGTCACAGGAGAGGCTCCAGGCCAAGGGCAGCTCTGTTTGCAGCTCAGCCTGGCCCTGGGGTCTCTGCACAAACTGTCTCAGGGGGTTTAATAACAGACACAAACAGAAAGGCTCCTGTGTAAATCTTATTTCTCTTTCTCTCTTGGAGATTCATCAAAACCGTGTGGCAAGTGTAGCACAGCCTTAGGAGAACTGTCAGAAATTTGGGAGAAAAAGGGCTGTTGGAAATGGCTCCAGGCACGTCCTGCAGCTCTGCCCAGTGGGGGCTGTAGGTCCATCCAGCCCTGCTTCCCCTCCCAGGGAGGGGCAGAGCCTGAGCCCAGTGTGGATCCCTGTCAGCCTGGGCAGAGCACAGGGGTGATTCTCTGTACCGGGGGCACACCCCAGGGTGTTCAAGGGTGGATCCAGGCAGCACTCACCCACCTGAGGCAAGCAGAGCCTGGAGCTGGGAGGTTGGTGTGGCCCTGCCCCATCCCAGCCTCCCTCCCTTGTCCTTCCCTCGCAGCCTGCCTGGCCACGCTGTGCCTCGAGGGCTCAGGCCCACTGGCCTCGCTGGCCGCCTGCGACAGCCGCACCCTGCTCTGCGCCAGCTCCAACTCCGGCATCCACGTGCTGCGAGTGAGGGGCGGAGCAGAGCTGGCCCTGGAGGAGGTGGCGGCGTTCTGAGCACCGGGACACTGTCAGACACTGTCCCTGGAGGAGGTGGCAGCGTTCTGAGCACTGAAACCTCCATCAGACACTGTCCCTGGAGGAGGTGGCAGCGTTCTGAGCACTGGAAGCCCACAGATTGTCCCAGGAGGGGATGTGACCCCCAAGAGCTGCCCTGACGGTGGGCAGCAGTGACTCTGTGCCTGTGGGGCACAGCAGCAGGGCTGGGGAGTTGCTGGTTGGTTTGTGGGTGCCAGGAAGGCATCAGAGCTGTCCAGGAGAAAAGCCAAACCCTGGCAGCCCTCAGGCCAAGGCCTTGCTCCTGACTGAGCCTCCTGCACTTTCCTTACAAAGCCTCCCTGCAGCCAGAGAGAGATGAAACACCAGGACCAAGGGACAGATACTTGAGCACCAGGCTGAGCACACACTGCTGGACCTGGGCTTGGACCACAGGAGACTGCGGTGAAATAATTCTGTGTTAGTTGCTGGCCTCTCATTCCACTGTATTTTCCCTGGAAGGAACTGTGCTCACGTTCCCAAGGAACAGACAGCTGCTCTCCAGCTGACAACAGGGAGGTGAATCTGTCTTCTCTTTACTCCTGAAGGTTTCCATCCAAATCACAGAATATCCTGAGCAGAAGGGACCCACCAGGATCCCCCAGCCCAGCCCCTGTCCCTGCCCAGCCCCCCCAGCAGCCCCACCCTGTCCATCCCTGGCAGCGCTGCCCAAAGGCTCCTGGAGCTCTGGCAGCCTCGGGGCCGTGCCCATTCCCTGGGCAGCCTGGGCAGTGCCAGCACCCTCTGGGGGCAGAGCCTTGCCCTGAGCTCCAGCCTGAGCTGCCCTGGCCCAGCCCCAGCCGTGCCCTGGCTCCTGTCCCAGGGAGAAGAGCTGTCCCTCAGAGGAAGCTGCAGACCCTGAGCCTCCCCTCAGCCTCCCCTGCTCCAGACTGAACAAACCCAATACCCTCACCCCTCCTCAGACCTCATCCCTCTTTCTTACACCATCAGAAATCAAACTGTGCATTGTGAAATTCCTGTAATTTCTCCATTCCTTGTGAGACCCAGAGCCCAGGATACACATTCAAAACCTGTTTAGATCTTCCAGGGCACATTATTTGCAAAAAACTCAATTTAAACAACAAACAAGAACAAAAGCTCTCCCCAGGGCAGAGCAGAACAAGACAATCCTACGCTGAGTGACCTCACACAGCAAACCCCAAACAGGAGATGCTGAAATGGATTTTCATCACCCAGTCCATGGGACAACTCATGGAGGAGGACACAAGGTGGTACCTGGAAAAGAAGAGATTCCCTGGCCTTGGACATCTACTGTAAGTGAATCCAGGGGGATGCGGATCTCCATCCAGTGTGGAGGCAGGGGAAGGAGGGCACCACATGCCTCTCCCTCTGGGCTCTCTCTAAATGTAAATCAAGTCTGAAGTCACACTCCTACTAAAAAGGAAGGTGAGAAGGGCAGTAACAGAAGCTGAACCACACCCCAAACCTGAGATGCTCTGTGGTTACTTCAAATGTTTGGAGGACACCTGGGAAATGAACTTGGAAGGGAGGGTCAAAGTACATGGATCAAAATTACAGCAGAAAGTGGTACCTGCAATATAAAACCAGTCCAAAAGGTGGGAAAACTCCCAAGACTTGACACCAACCAAGCCTGGGCCAACAGTGGTGCTTCAAACACACCCAAACTCCAGAGCAGCCATGACTACAGCTGCTGTAACACACTGGATTCCTGTTTTGTTTTTTTTTAATATAAAAAAGCAGCCAAAAGTCATGAATGTCCCTGTCCCAGTCCATAACCTGTCCCTCTGAGCTACTCAGCTGTCCAGAGCTTGAAGGTTCTGTCGTAGGAGCAGGTGGCAATGAGCTGCCCATCCAGGGAGATGTCCAGGCCCATCACCTTCCCCTCGTGCCCCGCCAGTGTCTTCAGGGGGGACCAGCCAGGGTGGGTCCAGATCTTGGCCGTGTTGTCGTAGGCGCCTGTGAGCAGGAAATTCCCGTGGTTGGCTGCAAGGGAGGAGAAAGGGGAGAAGTGAGGCTTGCAATGAACACAGGACATCCCTGCTCACAAACAGGCCTTGCTGAGCTGCAGGTGTGCATGGGAGCTGCCAGAGGGGAGGCCCAGGAGCAGCAGGGACTCACGTTCAAACCTGACGCCGGTGACCAGGTTCTGGTGGGCAGGGATGGTGTAGATGCATTTCCTCTGCCGCAGGTCCCACACCTTGCAGGTGTTGTCCCCGCTGCCCGTGGCCACGTGGTACCTGCCAAGGAGGGGAGGCAGAGCAGTGCTCAGGGAGTGGGGTTTACACTCAGAGCTCCCACATCAGTGCAAGCTCCCTCCTTACCCGTTTGGGGAGAAGTTGATGCCATAGATCTCCTTCAGGTGCCCTTCCAGGAACATGATACAGCGGCCCGTGCGCAGGTCCCACACCCGGCCAAAGGCATCCAGCCCTCTGCAAGCACAGCATTGTTGGATTCTTGTTGTATTCATATTTCTCAAGTCCCCTACTGTACCAAGCTGTTCTTCTCTGCAGCACAGTTCTTCATGTGTCTTCTCAGGGGCTCCTCCTGGGCTCTCGACCCACCCCTATTTATTCCAGTTACCTTCACGAGCTACAGCTGCTGCCCAACTGAGGAGTTCACAGCTGTAGCTCGTTGGGAGTAACTAGGACCCACACAGACCTTACAGGGACTCTCTCCATAAGGACCCACTTATTTAATACATAGATCTTAACAGGGACTCTCTCCATAACAATACGTATATTCAGCCCCCCACACAGCATCACACACTGGGCTGGGCAGGACCCTACAGATCACCCTGGCCATGGCAGGGACACCTCCCACTGTCCCAGGCTGCTCCCAGCCCTGTCCAACCTGGCCTTGGGCACTGCCAGGGATCCAGGAGCAGCCACAGCTGCTCTGGGCCTCCCCTCCTCCCAGGGAACAATTCCTAATTCCCAATATCCCCTCCATCCCTGCCCTCTGGCACTGGGAGCCAGTCCCCAGCAGAAATCCCTGGTCCATTCCCCAGCACTGTCCCTGGTCCCAGTAACAGCCCTGGTGCAGGGGGCACTCACCCGGTGCCAGCCAGGGAGCCGTCGGTGTGGAAGGCGATGTCGTAGACGCCCTTGCTGTGCCCCTCCTGGTGCAGGATCTCCTCCTGCGCCTCCAGGTCCCACAGGCGCCACGAGTGGTCGTAGCTGAGGAACAAAGCTCTCCTCAGTCACAGTCACTCAGGCTGGAAAAGCCCTCCAGGACCATGGAGTCCAGCTGTTAACCCAGCACCACCACATTCACCACTAACCCACGTCCCCAGGTGCCACCTCTGGGTGTTTTGTGAACAATTCCAGGATGGTGACTCCATCCCTGGGCAGCCTGTGCCAGTGCCTGGCCACCCTTTCTGTGAAGAGGTTTTTTCCCCAATATCCAACCTAAACCTTCCCTGGTGTAACTTGAGGCCGTTTCCCCTGGTCTCCATGTAATTCCAGGGAGAACAACAGGATATTTCACCAACCCTAAGAGCATTTTATTCCCAGTGTCTCACACAGGGGCAGGGAAAGGAATCCCAACGACCTGCTGTCACTGACAGTGCAGGTCAGCTGTGGTCACAATGGCCAAGCCCTGCCCAGCTGCTGTGGACAAGCCCTGACACCACAGGGCCACCAGCTAGGCAGCCTATGGTCACCTCTGGAAGTCATGGTCACCAGCCCATGGTCATTTCTGGAAGCCATGGTCAACAGCCCATAGTCACTTCTGGAAGCCATGGTCACCTTTGGAAGCCATGGTCTCCAGCCCATGGTCACCAGCCCATGGTCACCTTTGGAAGCCATAGTCACTGGAAGCCACAGTCACTTCTGGAAGCCATGGTCACCAGCCCATGGTCACCTCTGGAAGCCATGGTCTCCAGCCCATGGTCACCTCTGGATGCCCAGGTGTCCGTACCAGGTGGTGCCCAGGAACCTCCCTGACGGGTGCCACATCACTCGGGCCACTCTCATGCTGTGTCCCTCGATGTCTGCCACGGGCTCATCACTGAAACACAGAACAAACCATTGGCCACAGAGGTCAGGCTCGAGCCAGGCCTTGCTCACACACTGTGATGGCAGCAGAAGCTCTGCTGAGGAAATCAAACCAGGCAGGAACAGCAGAGCTGTAGCCAATGACTCTGAACTCTGCCACACTCCAAGCTCTGAGTGAAACCCTTTCTCCACACCTCCTGTTGGCTGTAAAGCTCTCCTGGGATGAGGATGATTATTAATGAAAATTAACAAGGCCCTTGTCATTAGCACTTTTGGAAGTACAGAAACAAACCATGAACTACCTGAACTGCAGGGAGTTCTGAGAACAGGACATCCTGAACCGCAGCAGCTCCTGCTGTTCTGCAGGATGCAGGCAACATTTATTCTCCCAGAATGACAGGCAGCAGGTCAGGAGCACTCACACACCCTCTGAACAGCACTGAAGTTTCTTTCCAACAGGTTAATTAAGAGATGTGTCACATGAGCCTAACAACCCCCTGTCCCTTTGCCCAGGGGCACTTTTGCTGTTACAAACTGATTTCAGCTGAGGATAAACAGCTGTGGCTCTGGAGCTGCCCTTCCTTCCCAGGAGCCCTGAGGCTCCAGTTCTCAAGCAGGTGATGCTGAGGCTCAGTGCCTGAACCCTTCTCCTCTCCCAGGCCTGAGGGAGGTGCTGCCCATCTGCCAGAGCTCCTCTGTGCACTGACAGTCATTTGTTTGCAGCACAGGCAGGAACTTTTTGTGTCTGTTTGTGCATTTGGTCAATCCCTCTCCAAATCCTGGTGCTTTCCAAGCACTCAAAAATTCATTTCTTAATATCCAAGAGGGGCAATTTTCTCCTAAGTGAGCTGTTAGAATGAACCAGTCCCCAGACCTTCCATCCATCACCCCCAGCAGTTGAGCAATGCCCAGCAGCAATTCTGCGTCACTCCCTTTCAGACCATCTCCCTCACCTGGGCTCCCTAATCAGGGTGATCTCTCTTC